ACCACACTTTAAAGGACCGTGGCCGGGGTCGTAGCATTGTGTGCGTCGCTTTGCGTTCCGCATCAAACACGACGACGCGCACCCTTCAAAAAATTCAGTTTCAATACGGTTAGATCCAATCTTCAGAAATTGGTTTGTTTTGCATTACATCTTGCTAACTCTACTAGTTTAGCAACCGTGCGAAAATTTCAAATCTGTGCAAGGTCAGTGTCAAATAACAACGAAATTACGGTGATAACCTTTTTTTTTTTTTTATTATTAACCTGTTTTATTTTCCATTGCAAAATACATATACAACACAAGTAAAAAGAAGAAATACTGTACAAAAATGAAATAAATAAAATAAAAGTGGATGAGTACCAAGGATGATAATACAATAAATGTACTCTTATTAAACATACTCTGCACTGTTTTTAGAATTATTACATTTAAAAAATACAAATTCAATGGCTTAGAACGATTTGCAACTGAAATTGTGGAACCAAAACATGCAATATCATGCAGTTCAGCTATAGACTACTAGAGTTACTTTGCCATTTCGTGTATTACTTCATAATCTCTGCCAATTGACCCCATTTTTTATTACAAAATTACCTTACTATTCCTGGCCAAATATTTTTCTATTTCCAAAAAAAAAATTAAGATACCCACAAAAACCAGAGAGGCAATTTATTTTTTTCCTTACATTGATATATATAGTAGCGTGTACATAAGAAGATCTGATTGATACATCTAGCATTTGCATTGTTTTCCAAAATTCCCAATATTGCCAATTTCATAGTCTAAATCTATGGCAAATCTTACTCTGTATTAAAATATTAATTTCTCCCCACAGGTTTTGTGCATATTCACAAAACCAAAAATAATGTTCCATGCTTTCAATATCTGAACTGCACCAGTTACATGTATCGACTAACCCCCTTACATATAGCCAATTACCTGTAGCAATAAATATATGAAGCACCTTAAATTGAAAAGATCTCAGTCTTCTATCAATTGTTGTATTTTTTGCTAATGTAAAATATTTGTTCTAGTCAGCATCTGGGATATTTAATTCACATTTATTTTGCCATTTAATTTGTAATTTTTCAATGTATAGCCTCAACTAAACTCTGATATGTTACAAACTTTACTGTAATATTGTACTTGAGTCTTAACTGTTCCATGGAGAGAAGGGAACCATTATCGTCTAGAATATCATTCAATACCCTGATACCACTTTTATTCCACGTCTATCTTTCCAAAAACAATTCACTAATGCCATTCTTGCAGTCAGAAACTACTTTGTTCCCACACAGAAATAGTTCTTAAAATGATTTCTAGCAATTTCCCTTCACGCGCGGTGAAAACTCAGTGTAAGATAAAACAAAAGTTTTGGAATTTTCATCACAGAGGGCGACCTTCGTCAACAAAATTTTTGCAAATAAAGATCTTCGAGGAAGTACTAGTATTTATCATTAAAATGATACGTCCATTAAACCATTATCGGCATTCCCACACACGATTGTTACAGACTATACAGTGTTCTGAGCTCAAAATGTCAGTTTAACTTGACAACAGAGAGTTTGATTCCCTGTCAACATGTTGGATAGAACATCGCGGGAAAAGTGGCGTAGTGATATCATGGTGTGATTTGTTATTATTAATTTTCTTTTCAAACCCAAATATTACTTATTTGTGACATTATAATTTTGAAAAGAATTGGATAAATTGAACTGTCATAGTATCTTGCAATATATTAACTAACAAGTGAGTCGAACGAACTATTTTGTTTACATGTTGTGTGCGAATGAATTTAACAAACTGATGTTAGGTCATAGGTTGAAGTTTGCGGGTGACATGTCGAAGCCTGCAGTTCGCGTAGAAAATGTTCCGTTACTCATTGATCACAGAGTGTTTCGTATATTACAACCTCTTTCTGCATGAGCACGGACCAACACGGCGCATTCGACATTCTAGCGACATACGATGCCTCGTAGAGATAACACTTCTTCGTTCGTTGTGTGTCCGATGACTTGTACTGTTTACTGACTCTGTTTTCGTTTGCAGTGCCATCCAATCTTGGCGGAAGTGGCACATACACGTAAGATCGGTTACTCTTCAGTGAAGTTCTAGCCAAGATCATGCCTGTCGTTAAGTCAAAACTGAAGCCAAAAACCAAGGTAATACGTGATATGGGTAACAACGTGTTGTGGTATTCTTGAAATCATGTTGACTGTAAACAACAATAACATAACAACTTTGTTACTGGATCTTGTTAATTTTTTTACCGTTTCATGTCGCTTCTAGTATGACCAGGCGCTTTGCACATTGTGTCTGTTTCCAGACACCCACATTACATATCAGTACAAGTTCATAGCCAAGTGTTTGTGATTTGAATTTGTTGACCTGTTTTACTAATATCACTATTTTCTATTAACCTAAATTCTTAATTACTAATAATTTTCTGGATAAATTAATTTCACTACTGACACTAGTGAAAAATGTTCCATTTTTTCACTGTGAATGAAAAGGCAACCCGACCTCCTGTATTAATTGCAATATAGCTCTCTGTTTTGCAGACAGAAAAACAATATTATATTGATAGTTCAAATGAAACAGTCTGTACTGATAAGCTGATATCAATACTGTTAATTTGTAAGCAAAACAGTGTGCTACTTATCATTTTAACCTTTTCACCACCATTGTCCAAATTTCTCATCCAAATTTGTCTGCACTGTTTTCATATATTTCTGGAAATAAACCCTAATTTTAGAGCCAACTGACAAAATTCAATTAACAATTTTTACTTCAAAAAAAATTTGGCTATTTTTGTCCCAATCTTCTGAATGAAAATCTTCTATGAGTGTCAGGGACTTGTCATAAATTTTTCAAATCTTGAAAATTCTTAGCCGCAAAAAAAAAAGCAGTTTACGGTTCTTTTTGTTATACGATAATATTTGTTGTCTTATTCCGTAGACTAGCAGGACTGCTGGATCACTGGTGGCCAAAGGACATGCAAGCAAAGCTACTAAAACTAACAAAAAGTAAGTGTTAGTTGAATTCAAGGTTTTACCCAGAAGAAAAATAATGATATGTCTATTTAACAAAATAATTATGATACTTGCAGTGGTTGAACTTGGGAGTTGAGAGAAATTTCAATGCCAAAGTCCGATAACATTCCCTCAGTTGTAACAGGCACTAAGGCACCTGCAATGAGTCTGTGACATTCAAGCCTTGTACACTGAAAGAAAGCTAAAATTATATTTGTGTTTTTAAAATACTGGATTAGAACCATAAAACCTTCCTGTCTTGCTTGTTTTCTGTATCCAAGCTGTCAGAAAAGACTTGGCAGCACTTTTTGTGCTGCAAACAAAAACTTATTTGGTTAGTACCTAATTTTATCCATGATTTAGTAACATTCCAACACAGTAACTTTGACAACAAGTCACTCTGGTGGTTAACATTTCTTTGTTATTAAATATGAGTAAAGCTTGCTACAGTTCCACAAATTATTTGAAGCCATAATATGATTAATTTCTGCATAACTGTTAAAAAAACAATTTATTGACATTAAAGATACTGAATTGCAGCGTTAAATTGAATGATAGTACAGCTGTAGAAATACAGCATAAATAAAATCACTTTGAGTACTTGAATGCTAACATTTAACATCGAGTTGAAGTAGGATTTTGATCCTCTGTAAGTACAAAATCTGAAATGAATTACTCGGAAACACATATATTTTCTCCAGTGTTTCTTCAGCTGTTGAGTAATAATTACAAAATAAAGATAGAAATTAAAGGATAGTATTTTTAGTTGCCTTTTTATTGCTTTATAAATATTTGCAACTCGGTGTATCACTACGTTTTATTACATGTGAATATTTTATACCCATAACATTTTTCAATATTTAAAAAAAAAAATTATTTTAGGTTAAAGCCTATTCATAATTGTAAAGAAATTTGGTTATAATTGAGAGAGGGAGGAAGGGAGGGGAGAGACGCACCCTCTATAATTGTCACTGCATTTTTGTGGTGATAAATATGCTAATGAGTAGCGTTAATTTTAAGCTGTCAACCAATAAGAAAGGCAGCTTTTGATCTAACCTGCTTTGCTATAACTATAACACACACGTGATACGATGTGTAGAATTCTTCATGCTAGCACATGCCTACTTTTCTCTTCTTGAAGTGTTCATATCATGAATAAGTTATAGCAATGATTACGCTTCAGAATGGACCAGTCCTGGTAATTTTGCATCTTAGCAAAATATAAAATTATAAAATTGCCATGGCTGGGCCAGTCTAACAATGTATCTAGAGCCTCCTGTCTTATTTATCACATCTGATCAACTATTTAGTTTGCAAATTCCATCCAAGCAGCTTTCTCAGACAGGATTGGTTAACGTATTTTGGTCTCTGCATAACTGATATAGGAGAGCAGGAAATAAACCATTTCCATATACTGATGTCAGATTTTTAGTAAATTTTGGAAACAATTCACAATTTCAAAATAGAGATTAATTATTTCAATCAGTAATTGTGGTGATTAATATTCTAAATGTACACAATTAATCAGAGGGATACAACAATCATAATTTTTTAGTTTTCAGTAATTTATCAATTTGATTTAAAAAGTCAGAGGAAATACTTGACTCTGGCGATGTACATGTATAGTGTGGTGGTAAAACAAAGCACTGTAACAGTACCTCCACACTGTTTTTATATTGGGAGAATATAATTATATGCAGCATAGGTAATTTAACCATTCAAGTGACAAATAAAACTGAAATATTGACTTAATTTCATTCATATTTTTCCCCAAATTTTGATAAATACTTATAGCCACTAAGAAAGTGTTGAAGTGTATGCTCTACTTATTAGATGGGTACAAAATTAAATTACTAAATTTGTTTTTCAGGAAGACGTCAATTCCATCTGTGGATTCTGGGTATTCTCTGTACTCTACAGATTCAGAAGATCCAACTGTTTACGCTAACAGAGGTTTAGATAGATGTGCTGCATTGCTGGCTAATATCCTAGAGAGTGATGATAGTGGTATGTGTGATTATTGTAGAATTGAATAGTCGTTTTGGAGTTTTACGTAGATTCAGGTGAAACAGAATCAATTGCAGTGTTTTCACAAGACATGAAACATGAATCATTTGTCTCATGGTTTTTATCCCAGGTTTTTTTACTCCCATGAGACAAATTGTCTTGCGAAAATATACGAAAATATAAGTGTCATTTCACAAGTGTAGAACAAAATTCAAACATATTAAAGCAGGGGAGTCGTCATCTGCACATGCTCAGATGGCCATAGTGTGTCATTGTTTATAAACAAGTGTCTACTCATGAGCCTTTGCGTTTTTAGCATGTGTTGTTATCGTCGCTTGGGATTCAATTCCTGCGCGTGCGCAGGTGACTACCCTCACGCTTTAAACATTTGAGTACGCTGTCTCTGTTATAAGGAGAAACAAAATACTTAATTTCTGTCTCTGGTTCCATATGGATTGGTAATTGTTTCATACTTTCTATGATGGAGCAATCACACTAATTAGTCCCCGTTCGGA